GTTTTTGTTACCAAGCAATGTTCAAGACGAGGAAAATTTTCATGACTCGACAAGCTCTCATGGGTTCCAACTGCAAAAGAACACAGTTCACTTTTTTTTTAAACTAAGAAATTCAAGCTTGATTACTCGTTCGTTGTATCTTTCATTCACTACAACGAAATTTTAATTACACTCTAGCATACATTATATAGTCTCCTAAATCTTACATACTTTTGTTATGAATAATGCTATCTAATACGAGTTTAAGTGATCACACTTGATATATTCAATTAAATGAATCATGCGTTATTACATTTAAGTAAATCTATGTTTTAATGACATGCAATTGTTACCTAAATTAGCGTTTGACACTAGTTATGCGTTATTGACTCAACCCTCAAAGCATGGCAACTGCGAGCAATGTTTTGAAAATCAGATTGGGCCAATTAATTCAAAAAAATCAAGAATTGGACCGAAATCCAATCCAGCTTTACTTATAAACCCTTTAGTTAAAAAACCACCTAGAAATCCATCAGATCGGCCTGTTTAGAAGGAACTCGTGACCCACTACCAATTTTCCCCTTTTGTAGGTTTTTCAATTTAAACTTTTTTCACTTTCATATTGGGTCCATACTTTATGCCCATAAATGAAGTGGAAATTACACAATTCCCTACTTTTGAAGATTCAAATTCTAAAATCAGATTTTATGTTTTAATATTCAAAAATCAGATATTTTTAATTAGATACAGATTATAATTATATAATTAAATATTAATTATAAAATTTTCATCCTAATTAATTTCATTTAAAAACAAACCCTAAATTCATTTCTCCCTTACCGTACCTATCTTTCCCACCGTCTCTGTCTTCTCTCGTTCCCCTCACCGGTGACCCATTCATCTCCGGTAATCGGTGACCCATTCATCTATGGTGACCGACGTCGAAGGCAGACGCCGTTGAGAACGGAGATGCTGCAGTCCGTCTTCTTTCCCTCCAAACAGAGATGTTGCAGTTCGCCAACAACTGAGATTTCCACTGCATCGCCACCATGCCTACTGGAGGAGAAATGCGTCGCCCGTCGGAGGAGCCATTACGTCAACAACTGGTTTTTTTTGTCAATCGGATATGGATTTAGCCACAGATCGGGTCGCCCACAGAAGTGCGTTGCCCGCTGATGTGGTGTGGTGTAAGATGGTGGACGTGTGCAGATCCATTCTTAAAGGATGTGTGCAGATCGTGGACGTGTGGTGCAGATTGCTAAATCCATATCCGATTGCCAAAAAAAACAGACAGATCGTGGATGTGTGCAGATCCATCCATCCTTCTTCTTTCCTTTTTTTTTTTGAGTGGTGTGGTGCGTTGATTGTTGGTGCGATGTGGGTGTTGGTGATGTTTGTTTATGCAGTTGCGGTGATGGTACAGTTGCGGTGGTGACGATGGGAGATTTGTGGTGTATATGTGCTGATATGTGTGTGGTGGTTGTGGTTCGTTCGGAGTGGTGGTGGTGGTGGTTGTTGCGTTTTTAGCTGCGATGGAGGTGGGTGATGGTGGTGGA